TAGGTGAAGACACTGACAAAGTGCACAGTTTTCTGAACACCTTGAGCATTGAAAATCTTCGAATGTTTGGCATACGATTCGCTCCTGTTATCAAATGTAAGATGATGCTACAGGACTGGACTGGACTACATCAACTCACTCCTTGCTAAAACATAGAGGGGTGGTGAAGTGGTTGGTGGAGAGAGTTGACCACCTAACTTATTTGAGGGAAGTTGCATTAGCCACAACAGGCTGATCGCTGACGACGTCTTACTACGGATACAAAAGGCTAGTTTGGCATATACCATCTCACTCTGACTTAGTAAACATGATATCCGGCTGGTTATTGAACAAAGGACGTGTGTACTCCTCAGCAGCACTTTCGCTCCGTCCTCCTCTATGGCTGGCTGGCTGTGAGACATGACCACTGAAAATGGAAGACATGAAAAGCCTGACTGACTAGCTGTCTTTGATCATAGGTGTCTGCATTCTGTCTCCCGTGTGTGTTAGGTGGTGGTATAATAAGGTGAGCAATATTGAGGTTAGGCATCGGTGGTCGATTGATAAGGAGGTGAGGAGGGGAAGTCAATCGACGAGGTGGTTGTGAAGCTACTACTACATTGATTGAGAGAGATGGTTAGGACATGTGTTATGCATACCACCGTGTAATGCCATCGATCACCTTCCACGATGACGAGCAATGTTACCTGACTGACATAGGATGTATGAGGTTGGAAAAGAGTTAGCTAGTGGTGATCAAACGAAAACATGGCTTCATCAGTCAGTCAAATCCATGACAGTTGGTTTAAGCCAGCCAGTGACGTCGGGAGGAGTAGACTGTCTGGTTGGGGTCCTCAGGGTGAGGACAACTGGTGATATGGCCAAAAAATCGTTCTCAATGACAGCGCAGATGCATCCACTCCTAGTGATTGAAAATATCAAATAAAATTATATTGTTCTTCCATAATACTATTCTTTCTGTCTCATATTTCTGTTTATTATCTCTCTATTTACTCTCTTCTCTTGCTTTGTGTGCTACAAGAAAGGAGTGTTGCAAGTGGAACTGGTGCACGTTTGTGCAAAGTTCTACGTTGAAAACAGTCAGTCAGTCCAGCTCTACGTGCGCATGACCCCATGACCGGGAAGGGGGAACTACAACCTTCAGGCTACAAGGCAGACCCTTTGATCAGTCGTCAGACACTCGGATGGAATTCAATGGTCAATCCATGAATTCCAACTTCTTCAAAGTCGTGATATGCAACTGCACAACCGTCAGTTCATATGTCATAGGTGAATATTTGTGCTCACAACCGACTTGATAAACCCCTCTAGTTATAACTTTCAATTAGATCTTCAAGTAACTGCATCTCGTAGTCAGTCAGTAAGTCACTAGTGAACATCGAATTAATTCTGAAGTGTTAACCTGCAATGATTTGATTGATATTAAAAGTTAGATAACAAAATGTGGATTCAGATCGTAAAAGTGAATGATCCCTACTTCGAATATGTATAACACTTGGGCACTGTGATAGTATGTAATTCCACATTAATTTGTTTATTAGATATATCTCACAGTGGAGAGACAGTATTATTATTATTATTTACTGGATGACGACGCCTTTCGAACACAATTTATTTTATTATTCATAATCATTTCATCATCAATTCTAATCACACATCTTCGAAACTTTCGTTTTATTCTTTCCTATTCGTCGTCGTCGTGGTGGTAGTAGAATGCTCCAGATGTCCGGGTGGACAGGTGTTCAATCATTCCTATTGTTGGTACTAGATGGTTGGAGGCAATCGGCAGGAAGCCTTGGACCTAGGTTTCGTGCTAGTTGGCACTCAAAAGTCAGCAAGGCGTATCTGCAACCTTGAAGGAACTGATGTCCCTTCTGAGATTCGAACCCGCATCACTCAGTGCTGCAGTCAGAGACGTTACCACTGAGCTATTCAGGCTCGCAACTAACCTCCTGTAGGACTGTATTGGATATTTTTGATTGAACACTAGTCAGTAACTAGTGCAATGTGTCTAGTCCTATCTTCGGTGCAGACTGAATTCTATCAGTCATGTTTGCAATGTGGTCACCATGCTAGGTGGCTCGCCATTACAGCAGGTCAGTCGCGAGCCTGAATAGCTCAGTGGTAACGTCTCTGACTGCAGCACTGGGTGATGCGGGTTCGAATCTCAGAAGGGACATCAGTTCCTTCAAGGTTGCAGATACGCCTTGCTGACCTTTGAGTGCCAACTAGCACGAAACCTAGGTCCAAGGCTTCCTGCCGATTGCCTCCAACCATCTAGTACCAACAATTCACAGTGCACCGTAATGGCGAGCCACCTAGCATGGTGGCCACATTGCAAACATGACTGATAGAACTCAGTCTGCACCGAAGATAGGACTAGACACATTACACTAGTTACTGACTAGCGTTCAATAAAAAAAACATTCCTATTACACGTATTCTCTTCAGTTATTTCAATGAATAAAGGTTCACTTACCAAACGAACTCATTACTGACCAAGAAACTGAACTTAGAACAAAAGTGCCACTTGAGGACATAATGCTAGGAGTGCAGCTGTGCCTGACATCCACAGAATTTAAATTCGAAGGGAAAATATACAAACAAACTGAGAGAGTTGCCATTGGGTCAACAATATCTCCGATTGTCGCAGATATATTCATGGATAGGGAAAACATAGCGATTAAAATATTCAGCCATACACCAAAAGTATGCTGGAGGCATGTAGATGACACACTCACTGTACTTAGAGCACAGGATATACATAAATTTTTCGAACACATTAACTCAAAGGTGGAGGCAATTCAATTCACTTATGAATTAGAAAGTCAAGAAGGGCAGCTTCCAATGTTAGATTGTAGCGTAAAGAGGAAAGAAGATGGGAAGTTAAACACACACTAGTGTTTATAGAAAACTCACACATTCAAACAGATATTTCGATTTTCGATCATCCCACCTTAGGTCAATATATATGACTGATGAAGTGTTTAAGTATTAGTCCACGAAAACAAAGTAGAATCAAAGAAAATCTAAGATAGGAAATGAGACATACAACAGAAGCTTTGAAACCTAATAATTACCCTGATAAATTAGTCAGGAAGTATGTAGGCAAATGTAAAATAAAATAAATAGTGATAGTTGTGATAATGATAATAATAATAATATCAATGACAATATGCATGTCAAACATGCACCAGATAATGACAGCACCAACAATAGGCAATTTCTATACAAAGAAGGAACCTCGGAATCCTTACAGAGAATTCTAAATAATGCAGGCAGGAATAAAAGTGGTCGCACTGAAACTGCTTCCACAAACTCAATTAGAAACAAGCTTTGTCGGTTGAAGGATCAATCCTGCAGGAGCAATTCAACGAAAAAATTAGTTTATCTAGTACCCTGGTCTGCGCTGATTGTCAGGTCAAAGTAGTGGAACGGGGTCAGTCAGTCAGACTAGCGGAGCATAAAAGCTTAGAAGCAAAATCTAGATTAGTTGACTTGACAATAAGATAAGAAATCTGGAGAATAGTCAAGCTATAGCACTACACCACATGCAATTACACACAACCTTACAACAGGACGGGATGAGATGACACTTTTAAAATCTAATACAATTAACAGGGTGGAGGGAGAGATTGATAAATGAAGCTTTATTTATCGAATCAACTGAAGAGAATACGTGTAATAGGAATGATTAAACACCTGTCCATGAGGACACCTGGAGAATTCTGCTACCACCTGTAAGACCACGAATAGGAAGTGATAATACTATAAAACGAAAGTTTCGAAGTTGTGTGGCTATAATTGATGAAATGATTATGAGCAGCAATAAAATAAATTGTGTTCGAAAGGCGTCGTCATCCAGTAAATAATAATAATACTGTCTCTCCACTAACTAACTACCTGAACATTAGTCATTAATTTAGAATTACTCTTTTTCTCCTCTCATTAGAACTTTAAAAAAAAATAAACGAGAAGCAACACATACATAATAATGATGTAATCCCATTCCAGTTGTCTTATTTCAATGAGAAGTGTATTACACACGTGTAACACAAGTTAAAAGAGAGTAAGGAAGAAGAAGAAGAAGGAGTAGAAATAATGTATAGAAGTTTATGGTTTGCTTTTAAAAAGTAAAACACATTACTATCACCATCATCATCAACATCACCTGTTGATAATTACCACCAAAGAAGTGGGCTTTTTTTTCATAAATAATATATATATATATGCATATGTTTATATTTAAAATATAATACAATATTATACCACCAGGTTCATTCTCACATTCTCCCTTGATCGTCAAACATCATCGTCATCGTTCGTAGTAGTAATAGTCATAATGACTATATTAGACAACACGCATAACAAGCATACGCAAAGATTAAAATCCGCGCTAACTTTGAAAAGGTAAACAAAACAAACAAACAATGCCAGACTACCGATCAACACACGCACACAGAAATAACGAAACATATTCAAGCTGAATAAATCGAAAGAGGGAGAGAAAATACAAACAAACGTGTATAGGAGGCATATATATAAGAAAGATGTGAGGATATACAAAGCCAAAAATCAGGAGAGAGAAATCCTAAAAACCATAGCATAATAATTATTATTATTTTAAAAAAACAACAAAAATAATGATATTACTGAAAAATGAAAAATTCAGTAGTATGATGTGTGATATCTTGATCGAGTAAAATATATATATATAAAATAAAAATAAAAACAAAACAAAAACGGAGAATGGAGGGAGTGTGGTGTAAAATACGGTTGATAATGCAGTTGAATTTGTACATGATAATTAAATAGTAGTCAAGATAAAAGAGTATTGTATAAATTGGTGAAATAATGAAGACGAAGACAGAAGAAGAAGAGAATGAAGAGATGAACACAACGGTTACCTTCTTCCGACACGATGTCTTCTCCTCCTGTCGCCCGCCCCCCAACCTCGCTGTGTGTTTCACATCTTGCTGCCATTCTTCATAACAAAACAACTTTCTACTATGCAAATATGCAAGGATGGAATAAGACAAAGCGAGATGAAAGTGTTGAAAAAAAAACACAAAAGCAAAACACCACTAAATTAGAGACTCTGAACGAAAATGAAATATACCACGAAATTATACAATGTACTGTGAGGAATAATAATAGTAATAATAATAACATCAGCGTAAAGGTGATGCCGGCATTGGTGTGCCACCATTAGTCATAGTTGCTGCACCACCAGATATACCAAAATTGACTGTTCCAGGTGATTCATTGAAACAACGATTAGGCATACCACCAGCAGCAGCAACAGCGTCAGGAATTAGGAGATTTGTAGGATTATTTGGACATAAGGTTGGTGTTCTATCAGTTTGTGGATTCGGTTTTGTAGCAGTTGACCATAAACAAGCATAACGATCTCTTAACAGGCGCATACAATCAGCCAATAGGGTTTTATCTCTTTGTGATTTAGCATGTTGACATAGACCATGGATCAGGGTGATGCCAGCTTTGTATCTTTGAAGAGACTAGCAGAAGAAGAGGAATAAAAAAAGATTTTTGTAAGTGAAATTACACACCTAAATAACAATTATCTAATGTAAAGTTTACGGAATGCCACAAACGATAGAAGAATGTAAGGAATAGACACCAAGGTCGGTCAAAAAACAACCTTGAGCTGACCAATTAGATCGCTCAGGATTACAGATAGATGCTTTTCATAATCTTCATTGCAAGTTTCATCCTGACTCAAGGTTAACGTTAGGTTACGTTTAAAGTAGGGCTATCGCTTAAGGTGAGAGTGAAACTTACAAAGAATATATTATGAAAAGCACCCATTTGTATTGCTGAGCGATCTGATTGATCGGTCCAAGGTCAGTTCATCTAAGTGTCTATTCTTTACTGTTGACTGGACGATGAATGAAGCATAGTTATCATAAATAGATTTAACTATTGTTATTTATTTTTGCGTCTCCTAAGCTCGACGATTCCATTAAAGAGCTTTTATTGTCAAAAGGACAATAACTTGGGCGCCAAATTCAATCTGCACTGAGTTCTGGGAATTCATCATGTAGGAAATATGTAACCTTCACTGTGATTGGTTGCTTTTGTGCTATATAGACCTAATTTATCAAGTATTGGTTTTGTAGGGATTTTGTTTGATTGGATGGAGAATTTCACCGTGAGCTGACATCAGTTAGAGAACCACTGGAAAACCTGAGAGTACTGGACAACTGTTTCGTCCTAGTTTGGGACTGACTGTTTAGCAGTACGCATTCACCGGGGTTCAAACCCAGGACCTTCTGGTTATAAGGCGAGCTCGTAGACCATTGAGCCACTGGGATCCGATCCAGTGGTCCTTGAATTCTAACTTCTGCCAATTCACGACATGGCGCGACCATTTCACCGTGTCTGCATCATCTTCAACCTGCTGTCAGCTCATGATGAAATCCTCCATGCAATGAAACAAAATGCCTACAAACCAATACTTAAAAATTAATCTGATGCTCACTAGCGACTGGCTCTATTCAGGCATTTAACCTGGGGTTCTAGTGGGAAGCCGGTCTGTCTTCTCTTCTTGTGTCGCGTCCTCAGTGGTATCGTATTGTGTTGCTGTTACTAATATTAGTTAGAATCAAGTGGGTAGAAAATTCGTTAGCTCAAAAACCAAGCGCACTAATGATCATATCCAAAATTGGCGACGGGTACATATCATTTTTTATAAATTCCTTTACGATAGTATCATCAAATTGTATTGTTGTTGATCCGATATATTCAGTGTGGTCTATTTGTATTCAGTAACAGATTTAATCGATAACCAAATGCCTATTGCACTATTAACTATCCACGTAAAAGCCTTGGAAAATAATGTTTGATTATCCATGTTCCGATGGTTGAAAGTCAGGCTTCATTTAAGCCCTTTGTGTTAAACAGAAATATTGTTTCTTTTCACCAATCAGCGGAAAGCGACCTATCAACAATATTTGTTAGAACAACGTTACGACAGACAGTGAATACATTTCATATAACTAAGCCATAGGATTTGATCAAAAACAATTAATAATCCTCAAATAAGTTATGATGGGTTTTGCTAAGTACAGAGGTGTACGACACAAATATACATTACGTGTTCACAAACTGAAGGTCATACATTCTATTCTTGGAGAGGATTATAGGTATCTAACGCTCAAGGCTCTGAAACTAGGATGAAACGACTGTTCAACTACTACTATATGGTTTTCAATGGTTCTCTAACCGATATGTATCAGTTCGTCAGATCAATCAAATCCCCACAAATATTAATACTTGTGAAAAGAAAGCAATTTATAAACTTGTCAGCAGCTATTGATATAAGAATAAAACTTGTGCACTGTGGTAGAGTGTAATTCCATTATGGGTAAATTTTGTTTTGATAAAGTCTCAGTGTTATACAGTAACACTGTGAGACTTTATCAAAACAAAATCTACCCATAATTGTCAGCAGCTAGTTGATGAGATGGTAAATACATTTTGATTTGTGTACATCGACTCAGATGGTTAGGACATGTGTTACGTATGCCTAGTCATCGCCTTCCTCGACATCGGGCAATGTTAGCTGACATAGGGTCAGGTTGGAAAAGAGCTAGCGGCGGTTTAACGAAAACATGGCTTCATCAGTCAATGAAATCCACAACAGTTAGTCTAAGCCACGTAGGAAGGTGTAGACTCCTTGGTTGGGGTCCTCGGGACGGTAAAACCAATGGTTGGAAACAATCGGTGACATGGCTCAAAATCGTTCTCAATGGCTGGCACAGATGCATCCACTCCTTGTGACTTATGATTTCCAATGAAACTGTTTTGTTCTCCGTTATTACTATTCCTTTGTCTCACACCTCTGTTTACTGTCTATATTATGCATTTCTTCTACTTTCTTCTCTTGCTTTGTGTGCTACGAGGAGGGAGTGTGGCGACTTGAACTGCCGCACATATGTGCAAAGTTCTATGTCGAAAACCGACCGTACACTTCAACCACTGTCTACATGAAACAGAATTGTGAGTAAAGCATTGGCTGGTGCACGTAGGTGGTTCAGCGGTAGACTGTTCGCCAACCATGCCTCGAGTGGTGGTCCGGAGTTTGGTTCTCGGCCGACGCACACATCTGCCGCCCGACAAAGAGGGGAGGTTGGGCATGAGGCTAGCAAACCCTCCACCACTCCTGCTACCGAAACTTCAAAGCCCAACAGCTTGAACCCCTATGATGTTCCACTCGGGAGGCAAAGGATTAAACATGATATAATAAAGGCATATCCCTAGGATATACTCAGTTTGAATCAGTGCCACTAGGATATTCTTGCGTAAAGACTAAGAATTTCTGATGCAATAAGCCACCCCACATATATACTGGGATGAAGATACAGTTTTACATGTTTAACTCTGAAACCTACTGTCTAGATAGGACTCTCACCATTGAAAACAACATTTACCGCCAAGGACTAGCAAAACTTGTCTTCACTGAAACTGATAACATTTAGGAATATACTTTTAAAACCACTCTAAAGTTTTGCTAACACTAAGTGTAACTGAGAATTCGCGAAATGAAAGAAAGAAAAAATTGAAAAAATAATTTAAAAATAACTAAGAGAATATTTTACTTACCAATGCAATTTCACCAATATATTCATCCATTTCAGCGGCATAACACTACAAAAAATATAAAGAGGTTGATGAGAAAGTAATATATATTCATTTTACAGTTTATCAGTTCGAATTCTGAATCACATGCTCAGTAGAGACTAGCTCTACTCAGGTGGGTAGTTAGCTAGTAAGTTACCTGAGTTCTAGTTAGAAGTTGTGACCACTGGGTTACTGCAGGTCGGGTGTGACGACAAATACGCACCAGCGTGCATGAATTGGCAGCAGTTGGAATTCATGGACTGGTCATTGGATAGGTCGGGTTTCCCAGTGGCTTAATGGTTTACGAGCTCACTAGCCTTGTAACCGGAAGGTTCTAGCTTCAAACCTCTGTCAGTGGGTGCGTGCTGGCTACCCGGTACTCCCAGCTGATTTTCCAGTGGTTATCTCATGATGAAATATTGCAAGAAATGAAATAGAATTCCTACAAACTAACACTTGAATTCGAATTTACTTTTTTTACCGGTTAGTATAGTGATGGTGGCAGTCAGGTGCCTCAAGTGAAACTTCATCATTAGAAACCAAATTAGACTAAAATCCATAAGAAGAGTAATTTTTCTCTTGTTTAGTGGTTTTCTACATGAGTTTTTTTAATTATAGCTTAATTCCACACCGTATTTTTGGTACAACTATGGAGTTTCCAGCATGTGATATCGGTAGCCTAAATTTTTCAGGCCAACCATTGATATCAGGTGTGCGTCGGCTGGGCATCGAACGTCGGACCATGTGCATGGTCGGCGAGAGTCCTAACCAATATGCCACCAACGCACTTCCAGTTAATGACGAAAATAAACAAATTGCATTGAATACAAATATGTATATCATTTCTGTTACATGTTTGGCCATGCTTTGATATAAGTTGGAGAACCATTGAAAATCGTGGTATACTGAATAGCTATCCCGTCGTCCTAGTTTGAGACTTTTCAGCTCTAAGTAGCAGCGATAACCCCACCAGGAATCGACTCTATCAAATTGAGGCCAAGAGGCGAGTCCCCGTTGATAATCCAGCCATGTTTTGCTGCAACGCTGAGTTATTTACTTTCTCTGACTAACGTCAAATCTATCTCCCTGCTATTTGATATTTCTACGCCGAAGAACATTTCTTTATATTTATATATACTATTGATAAATCTTATCAGTAGCACATACCCCAATAATACAATTGTTAAGTAATATTAGGCGTCATACTGAGAAATCCCTACTGACCTTTAAACATATTCTAATTAGTTGTATCTGAATGAGAGAAAAAAAACAGTTTGGAAAGTATACAACACTAACCTGATCCAATGCATACTGAAAGATAAGACGATTGGCGGTAATATTCGCTAAAAGTCTACCAACTGGTTCAATCAGATCTTCACGATGCGATTGTCTAGCCAATTGTCGTAATCGTATATAACAACGATGATACAGGGTATTACAGTCGATCAAACCTACAAAAAGAACCAAATTATTATTATTATTATTATTAAAATATTAGCTTTAGGGGATGTAGAGTTTAAATTTAAAAAATACCTAAATTTGCGGGAAAAAAGAGAGTCTACAGTTGTAGAAATCAAAACTCAAGTGACTTTAGAATTGAAATAAAAGACCAAGAAAGTGTATATCAGTTCACTATTGATCAGTGTAGTGACCACATTCACTGTGATAGTACTCTATTTCAAGTGAGATACCATTCACTAAGGGTACTTCCCGAATTGAGTGTGAGAATATTTACGCATTAATGGGGATTTGATGATGCCTACCTCACTTGAAAGTTTCACTTGATAATTGACACGCAGAAGAGATGACACACTCTGGTGGATTGCGTCTTGCAACGGTGTCAGATTGTGAAGTTAAAATGATTTGGAAAGAAAATGAATACTGTAAAATAAGTGCTACACCTAATCCCCCAAATAAAAAGGTAGTGTCATTTATCAACACACACAGAAACACCTAGTGACAGACCTTTGATGAACTCAGTCACCTAGGGCAACATGTGTTTCTTAAAATGGGGGAAGTTAAGTCTTGTTAATGGGCTACAAGAAGCGGAAGATTAGGATTCTAGGCTTCGTGTCACTGGTCTGTTTCTAATATCATACATACATATAAAAATATATATTTACATGGAAAATTCCCATTGGGACATATAGAAAATCAAAACAAGCGATTCAGATAAGAGACTCTTTGCAAGGAATTTATCACTGAGCTACTCAATCGTATATATATATATATATATGGCTTTTCTTAGGAAATTATATCCAGTGAAGGAATTGAATCAAAGGTGTGAATACACGAAATAATAATAGTAGTATGAAACGCAATTAAAATGTTTGTGATTATAATCATAATTAAATGTTAAGTAGCGAAACAATTGATGTCCTTGATATAGAACAATTCATAGGATGTAAAGAAGTTGGAAGGAGTGTAAAATTATAGCATTAGTAGGCAAATAGAATAAAAATAAAAATATTATGTAGCACTGTGTGAAGTTTGATAATATAGAATTTAACGTCACAAAACAAAATTGATTTAGAATGACAAGTGGAACGAGTGGAATAGTGGGAACAGTAATAGAGACAATTGACGCAATAAAGGAAGAGTATACAAATTGAATAAACAAAACGAAGATTAAGTAGAAGCAAAATATGAAGTGGAGATTACTATACATTAACATAGCGGGATTAAGACAATGAAAGTTGGAGGGGGGGGGTTGGACAAACTTTTTCTGTATGCAGAGATGCGGCTTCTCTATTTCGATGTCTAAATATGACTTCAGCAATACAGATGATTGTCGGGTACTTAGATTTGGGCAAATTAACTTTCGCCTTGCAGATAACTTTAAAGATGGAGGCTGTATATATAAGATAATCACTATCGACCAGATGTTGCGGTGATTATGCCTTTTGCAGGTCCACTTCCACCTCTTTGTAACCATGCAGGATAGTGTTCTTACACCCTTTCGGACAAAAGCCGAATCAAAAGACCGATATACCTAGCTCCATATTAGCAGTAATGGTCGACTGGTAAAGGCTATTCTCAACAACGCAGCAGGGAATGTCATTTTCAGGGACTACAGAAGTACACTCAAATGCTGTCTAGCTTCCTCCAATTACCAAAGACAGGAAAGTCACAGAAGTAGCCTGATACTTCCAATGCTCCCACATATAACTATCGTTTGACAAGAAATATATCTTTTGGAGGCAGGACATAATATCATTCCGAAAAGGCAACAACAGAAGACGTAATTCGGGTCCGACACCACGGATCGACACCAGTTAGAGAACCATTGAAAACCAGCACTGAAGAACTGGATAGCTATTTCGTCAGCCTAGTTTGGAAGTCATCGGCAGCACTCACACACCAACTGAATTGTGTACGAGCTTTCTTTGTAAGCAGAAGGTCCTGAGTTTGAAACCCAGTAGGTACGCACTGCTGAAGAGTCAGTTCCAAACTAGGCTGACGAAACAGCTGGCTGGCTGTTCCAATGGTTCTCTTCTAACCAATATCAGTTCATTATGAAATCCTGTAACCAATATGATAATAACTCACGTCTTCGTGCAGTCGCCGTGGATTTTAATCGACCATTTTGAAAAGCTTTTTTCACTTGATCAAATACATACTCCAAATAGTAAAGAACTCGTCGATAGAGTACAATTTGTTCAACAATTCTAAAAATAACCAGCAAAACAACAAAAAATTAACACATTTATAAATAAGTAAAGAGAAATGCATAATACTGCATAAGTGAAATGGGAATAAAACAATTTTGAAAAAGATTTCAAGTAGAGCGGAAATATTTATTCAGACATTTAGAAGACAAAAAAATTTTTTAGCAAAGAATATTCTTTTCGATAATTTCCGCTTCTGGCTCTACAATTATATATATGCCTATATACATAGAATATTCCAGATTAGTAGTCAATAAGAATATTGGCGTTTTTTTCAATAATATCGATTTGTAAAGAAAGATAAATGGAATTACAGTTCATTAAAGATGCACAAGTTATAATAAGTATAAAAATATAAAAGCAAATAGAATATCAACTAAAATTAAAGAAATTTCCACAACCAATTGAGGGTCATTCGAACCTAGATGGCCAGTGGGGTAAGGACAATGTCTGAACTAGCTTCTTCTTTTGGACACATAAATTAAGCTTGTTAATGTAGATACCAACAGTCAGCCTCAGCAATATTTAGTAAACGAACTCTTAAGGCCAAGTTAAGATTAGTTGGTATGCGGTGGAGATGACTTTGAAAGCCTCCTCGTTAACATCAATTTTGTGTTCTGTATCCACAAGATGAGATAGAATAGCGCTATGAATAGATTTGGTTTGTCTTTTACTTAACCACTACGCAGGGTGATGTTCGGAAATCCGAAGAGAAACACGCCTAATTGTATGGACTATGTAACCAACTGGCTCACTCCACAGGAGCAGTTAAATTGGTAGATACACATGGAAGAGGCAAAATTACATAGTTTATCTTTAATTCCCGAACGCAAAGTAGGGGTGGGTGATTTTGAAGACACAGTGTGATTCGGCAGTGGAGAATCCTTTTTTTACCGTCGCATTCATAAGACGTTTTGTTAGTATCCTTGAGGAACTGAATTTGTAAGAATAAGGCCTTTTTAGGAACTGTTGGTACCTTGGACCGCCTTGATTTTAGATTCATATTCTTATGAATAAACTTTTCTGGATAACCATTTTCACTCAGCAACCGTTTAGTATTATTAGGTTCCCCATCAAGACATTCATCCGAGCAGATTTCTCGGATATTATTTAAAAAACACTAATATTGTTACTGACTGCTATTCTAGAATATTCCATGTATATAAACAAACGTATACATAATTGCAAAGCCAGAAAAAGAGGAGGAATTTATCGAAAAGGATATTCTTTGCTCAATTATTTTGTATTTTATAGATATCTGAATGAATATTTTCGCTTTATTGATTTTATTGATCAAATGTCTAATTATCAATTTTTACTCATATATATATAAACGACGAAGCAAGAAAGTGAGCAGTGCCTTGATATGAGATAATGAGCAGTGCATAATTTGTGTTCGAAACGTGTGGTCATATCAGTAGTAAATATAACACACTGTATGAACAAGACTACACTGTGTGATTTTATCAAAATTCAAATAAAATTTTATCCATAACAGGTGCAGTGATATTTGAAGCTGAGACCTACTCAATTGGAAATTGAATGTCTAAGACAATGAATGAATGAGTCAGATCCTCACCTCGCCGGTAATGATTAACAGTCAACTATAAAAAACAAATTTGCATTCACAATAGTATAATCACTTGTCAACGTGCATCGGTGGCACAGCGGTTAGGACTCTCGCCGACCATGCGCACATGGTCCGGAGTTCGATCCCCTGCCGACGCACAGCCGATATCAATGGTCAACCTGCTAAATTTGGGCTGCCGATATCGCATGCTGAAAATTCCATACTTGTATCAAAAGATACGGTGTGGAATCAAGCTATAATCAAAAATATTTAAAAAAATAAATAAATAAACTACAGTGTCACACAGACACACACATACCTTTGAGCTTCAGAAACAAATTTAAGTGCAGTTGACGTTTTATTCATTTCTGACTGTCCATTGTCACCAGTATGCTCACCATCAAGACAGGGATTGTTGTTGCCTTCAGATCTTCCATTTATCGATGATTTATCCTCTTGTAGATTATCTGAATTCATTGGTATGGATTCATGATTAGAAGGATCTATGTTAGTAGGAGTAGTAGCAGTCCCGTCTTCAGTGGTTGGAGTAGTAGTAGGAGTAGTAGTGACAACACGCGTTGGCGTACAGTCGGCTAGTGCTGATGCTCGACGTTCAGCTAATTCAGCTAGTAATTCGCATAATTCTAACACCATTGTTATCTTTTTAATTTCTTCATTGTGTTCAGGCTATCCAACGATTAATAGAAAAAATAACAACAATAATAACGAAAAGAGAATAAGCCAGCAATATTGGTAAATCTAGAGACGACCTGTTCACGCAAACACATCAAAAGACACATAAAGAAAACTCTCCTACGTGTTACATCACGGGTGTAGAGTGTTGGGAGGGGGTTAGGATAGAAAGTCAACCAAAGAGGTTATGAAGCTACAGAGATTGAGATGCCTAGGACACATGTTACAAATGCTGAGCTATCATCTCTGTCGATAAGCAATGTTAACTTGAAATAGGATTAGGTTGAAAAAGAGTTAATGCGGGGGGGGGCGGGGAAAGGCAAATCAAAATCTGACATCACTTCATGAAATCTTTGACAGAGAGCTGTGATATTCTTAATTATGGTGAACTGGATTATGCGTCAGACTGTACGTCGGGAGTGAGAAGAGAGGAATACACTGGACTGACCTATAAGAAGACTCTAAAAAACCTGGATTTCCCGCATGCTGGCTGGCTGGATTCAACATAGAACTTGTCACCGAAATGCAGCAGTTCCAATTGCCACGTTCCAAATAGCACAGATAGGTAGACAAGAAGATGAGTGAAGAGAATCAATAGAGTTTTGACAAGTATAACAGTGAAACAGAATCAGTAATGGTAGAAAGGAATATGAAAGATTACAGAGACTGAATACATCTGCGTAAGCCATTGACAACGATTTTGAGCCATGTCACCTATTGTCTCCAGCCATTGATTCTTAGAGTCCCGAAGGCGGGCCCCAACCCGGAAGTCTGCATCTCCCTACCTGACTCAGTTTAACTGTCAAGGATTTCATGGATTGATGAGGTCATGTTTTTGTTTGGCCACCACTTACTCTTTTCCAACCTGCACCTATATCAGCTAGTAATGCCCGTCCGTCGGGGGAGGCGATGGTTAGGCATGCGCAGCACGTGACCTGCATGTGGATGATTTATGTCTAATGTCACACATACGAGGCAGACGAGAATTAACAAACTGTCCCAAGAAGCAGGTGGTGAAGACAGGATTCCAGGTGAACATACAGAAGACTGGGGTGATGAAGACAACCGAACAAAAATCACAGCAACAACAACAAACAGCGCAGATCACCATCGACGGGAGGAATTTAAAAGAGGTTACTTTCCTCACTTATCTGGCTAGGAAGCCAGAATCTTTTCAACCACAGGCAACAGAACTGATGAAGATGTCAAAGCCAGTGGGAATTGAAACGACTAGATACACCTTCATCAATCTGAAATAAGTTTGGAAATCTTCTGTTCTCACTCAGCGTCAAGATAAACAACAAGATTCAGATTTTCGACACTGATATGGAGTCAGTCAGTCAGTTCTTCTAAACGGATCAGAAAATTGGCTAGTGAATCAAGTAAAGCATTTCCAACAGACTACAGTAGACTTTTATCGACAGTTATCGTCGCCAGCTCTATACTGAAAATCTAACGGCCGGTCGGCCGGAAAGAATAAGAAACAAGAAACTCCACCAACAAACCAACCTAGAGCCAATCGCAGAAGAGAATGGAGATGGACTGAACGTTCGGCACTGAGGAGGCCGTCTAATGGCATCGCGCGTAATGCAGGCCATTGCTCGAGTGGAATCCCAATGGGAAGCGATGAGTGGGTTGTCAATGCGAGGATGACATGGAGGAGATCGTGTGGTGGTGATGAGGAGGAGGAGTGACAGATTATGGGCAATCATGGGGTCAGACAGATGAAGAGGACAGCAGAGTGTAGAACAAAGTGGAGATGCATTGTTGAACGCCTATGTTGTTCCACTCGGAACCCAAGGCGATAGACAATAATTATAATATAGGGAGGTGTGTCAACTACCTAGTTGGGGACTTCGAAGTGGTTCTTAAGAACCACAATGCCTTAAAAATACTGGGTAATATGGCTCAAAATCGTCCTCAATGGCTTGAAGGCATTCCCTCTTCATGACCCCTCATATCCGCTAAACCGTCATTTTTTCGCATGTCACTTTTCCTCCCCTGGGACATTTTGCGCTTAGTGTAATTCATTTAAATCTCTTCTTCCCTTTTTTGTAGGTCACATGGCGTGTGTGGCAACTTGTGTATATTTGTAGGCTACATGCTAACTGCACTTCTATGGAACTTTCTATATGTTGAAACTGTCATTCAGTCTCGTTACATCCAGTATTTGTATATCAGTTATATGGAATAAAAGTGTAAAGAAAGAAATGATGGCCATATTGTCAAAGCTCATAGATTAGTACAAGGAAGGATGGTAGACTTGATGAAAAAATTTGTCATATCCTAATTCAGATGAAATGTGAATACACATCTGTCACATTGTGATAAATTATCACTCCTAGAATCTAGTCATATATTGGAAAATAAATACATAAGCATAATCAAGTAGGGATTTGATTGATTGGTTACAGGATTTCATCATTAGTTGACATCGGTTAGACAACCATTGGAAGACCAACAGGAAGTATTGAACAGTCAGCCAGTTGTTTCATCAGACTAGTTTCAGATTGACTTTTCAGCAGTACGCACCCACAGATAGAGGTTCGAAGCCAGGACCTTCCGATAACGAGGCCAATTAGCTCGTAGACAATTAAGCCCCTGGAACACGATCCAATAATCAGCCAGACCATGAATTCTAACTTCTGCCACCAATTCACGCGTGATACAGCGCGGCTGGTTCTAGACAATGTTATAACTCAGGAGTATTTGTACTCACACTCGACCTACTCTACCCCACGACTTTTCACTAGAGCCAGATAACTAACTACCTACCTGAATAGGACCAGTCGCTGGTCAGCATCAGATCTATATTCAAGTATTGGGTTTTAGAGACGTCGGGCGTGAGGATAAACACTTGACGAAGACAAGTGGGGGTGGAATCTCGTGAATTTATGCATTGGCCACTGGATCCAATTCCAGTGGCTGAATAGTCTACAGGCTCACTAGCCTTGTAATCAGAAAGTTCTGGGTTCGAAACCCTGTCGGTGAGTGAGTACTACTGAAGGGCCAAAAAATAGGACGAAACAGTTGACCAGTATTCCCTGCAGCTTTTCCAATTTTTCTCTAACCGATATCACCTAGTGATGAAACCCTGTGGGAAAAGCATAAATTCATGAGTAAATCGACCACGAAGACCAAGAGAATTTCACAACCAATCTACACTCATTCATCATCAGAGGTGGTGGTAATAGTGATTCACAGGGGAAATGTAAAAAACTCACATTAGGGTTTTCACTTCATCCATAGTTAAAATGAATTTCCTAAAAACGCTACTATGGGTTTTGTCTTAACTTTGTAGTAATCAGTAAGGCGGTGGTTTTACATGGTGTCTTAATTTGTTGTGGTCGCACAGATATGTGAAGCTACTTACCTTGTTAACTTTATTATTTATTCAAATTTTGAAATTTTGCTGTTGACACAGCTATTAATCAGGTTATTGATGTTTTACTTGTAAAATACAAACTACTTATCAGTAGACGCTATCGATTGGCGTAATTTTTAAACTGCATATTTTTACCTCTGTCAAATATTTGTTCGCATTCGAGCCGTCACATCTCAAAATAATGTGGATAACCACGCATCAGGTGATCCACAAAAGAAAACTCAGCTAAGCCGTTGAAGTGAATACAGGAGTAAGGACAAGGCTAACTGCCTGACTATTATCACCAATGATATTCTTATTGAGGGTAAACTGAATTGTGCGTCAGAGTGTGGGAAGTGAGAAAGAAGGATTACGCTGAACTGACCGACCATAAGACTCTAGAAAATCTGGATTTCGCGCGTGGATGACTTATGTTCAATGTTACACAAGATCGTAAACCAACAAACTGGCAGAAGACGCGGATAGGCGGCGAAGACGGGACTGCAGGTGGACATGGAGAAGACGGAGGTGATGAAGATAACCAACCAGCCAGCAGTAACGACAACCAGTACAAATCACTATCAACGGTAGAGTTTTGACAGATGGTTATTGCCTTCACTTATCTACCTAGGAAGAATCGTTTAAACAATAGGCGATAGAACAAATAAATATGTTAAAGCCAGTCAGGATCGGAAAGGCGAGATACACCTTCATAAACCTGAAACCAGTTTGGAAATCTTCTGCACTCTTTAGCATAAAAACCAAGGTCCAGATTTTCAGCATCTATTAATTCAGTCGGTTCCTCTATGTGGGAACAAACTAACCAAGACCCGATTGCTCAACAAATATGTAGGAGAAAAAGGAGATGGATAGGACACACTCTGAGGTGAATGTCGAATGATATCTCGCGCAATGCAGGCCATTTCTCGAATGGAACCCCTATGGGTGGAGACTAGTGTGTCATCAGTGCGAGGATGACATGGAGGAGATAGTGTGGTGATGATGAGGAGGAGATGAGAGATTATAGTCAGTCGTGGAGCTAGCCAGCTGAAGAGGACAGCAGAAAATAGAACAAAGTGGAGATTTGTTGTTGAAGCCAGCCCTATGTTCGAAGGGAATAATAATATAATAATAGTTCGACTACGCAGCTACCTAAATATCGGATGGCGTGAACTGAACTCTCTCTCAGTTGAATTGAACGGGATACACTGCCGATTAGATCAGCCCCGAACAAGTGGAACGGCCCTCCGGCGTTTAGGTCACCTTAGCAAGGTATGCACTACTACTGGTTGATATGTGAGTGGTGTATGGAACACTATTCATCTCAATCAACCACTAGTCTATGGTTTTATACTAATATATACATATTTTTCTTTAGCAGTTTACAGAGCTTGAAGTCTGTGAAACTTACCTCCATTAAAATTTCATCTGAGAATTCAGCAGCTTCCCATAAGCCACCACCACCAGACGTGAAGTCATTTTCGAAATTTCTACCGGTAGCTAGAAAAAACAACCAAAAGAAAATAAGAAAACATGTATTTAGTTGAAAAGAAAACTCACAAAGTATGGAATAGAAGAAAAAGCAAATAAAAAAAACATTTTGCACAGCATAAAAACCCGCTTTGGAAGATTAGTTACCAAAAGGTAACCATCAAAAGACTCAAAACAAAACGAACAAGTTAGTTTTAGTGAGTAAAAGTGAAAACGGAAGTAATAACAAGACAATTACAATACTGTCTGTAAATACAACTCAAAAAATAACAACAATAATAATTATCAAAAGTTTTTGGTTTGTAAGGATTAGATTTTTGTTTATACGAGTTTGACCACGGATTAATATCAGTTAGAGAACCATTGAAAACGAGCACTGAAGTACTGGGCAGCCAGTCCCGGTTTTTTGGGAATCATTGGCAACCCGCACCCACTGGGGTTGTACCCCAGGACCCTCCAGTTACAAGGTAGAAGTAAGAATTCACGAGCTGGCCACTGGATCCGACCCCAATGGCTTAATTGTCTACGAACTCGCTAGCCCTGTGTAACCGGAAGGTCTTGGGTTCGAAACACATGTGGTGGTTACATGTACTGCTGAAGGGTCAAAAACTAGGCTGACAAAACAGCTGTCCAGTACACCAGTGCTGGTTTTCAACGGTTCTCTAACTGATATCAATCCGTGGACAAACTCGTATAAATATTAATAATAATAATAGTAATGATAATAATAATAGCTTCATACATTTATTCTCCTTTATGAATTTGAACAAAGCAAGAACAACAACAGTGGTGGTTTGTACAGAATACAAGATACTGCCATCCTTTTTATTTGTCGACTTCTCATCAGCTGCTTACATACACAGAGAGTTCATGTTTAAACCAAAAATTAATATATGCATACAATGTTTCTAATAATAATCATTTTATACCAAACAATAATAATAATCACACACAATGTGGAATATTTTGGCGTTACGTAATCGAATGAAAGAGAGGATGAAAGCACTCAGTTTCCAGACAGGACAAGGAAAGACTGAAAACCACTTCTTTCTAGACACAAAAATCGGGTTTCAGGAGCTTGATGGAGATTACTTCGGCAAACTTGTGGCGATATGAAGGCTCTAATGACAAACAAATTACACTGAAAAAAGCCTGTCTTCATTCAACTTGATTTCATAGGTGATAATATTGCAGGTATCACTAACCAGAGCCGATCCTGCAGCTAGTTAAGTTGGTTCCCGTTTATGGGACAACATGCTCTTTGGTGAAATCAAACGTCGACAGATAGCCTTTTCAGTCAACACCTACTTACGACACTGGTTACACCCTAGTGACCGAATCATGTAAGTTATTCTAATCACAGAAGGGTGAAATTAAAGTATAACAGCCAAAATCAGAGTCTTCTAAGAGCTGACCTTCAAGAACCAATCAGATTACAGGGAAGGCTACGTATGGTCATTCTAAAAATTAAATCATGACTGCCTTTTTGAACTTGGAAAAGGTAGATAACGTATTCTGCTTATTTTCTAGGTACTTTCTCTGCAAATCTGTACTTTTAGCTAGGGCTTTTAAGATTACGGCTTATGGTTTAAGTTAGGATTATGGTTAGATTTCGGGGTAGGTTAAAGAACAGTGTCAGAAATACCAATGGATCTCAAAGTACTATGACCTACAGTCACCTGGATGAATGCATCTACCATGCATGTTATGATTTCTCTACAGATCATCTGTGTAGTAGCTGCGAGACATTCTTACAACACATACGGGACAACTATATATAGTGCGATATCATGTTTGCAGTGCTTTTCAGTGCATTTTTCAACGATAATGCAACTTTTTTGTATCTGAATACTGATTGGTTGTTCAAGGTCACTGTGATATTGGCTGTGATAGTTTCACTTTGCCCACAGAAGAATTATGGCTTACTCGTTCAACAAATAGGATGAAATCCTCACCAGTTAAAAAATTGCATTTCCTACTTCTCACAATCGCGAAAAGTACACTACAATTCAGACTGTTTGTTTGTACAGATTCAGTATCAAATGGATTAATTTTCTTTTGTTTGAATCTACCTGTGACGCAGTGTCAAATTTCAGCGACGTCAAAGTGAGATAGGAAAGCAAATTTGAAATACATAAGCTGACATAGGATAAGGTCGAAAAAGAGCTAGTGGCGGTCAAATAAAAACATGGCATCATCAGTCAGTCAAATCCACAAACTAATACTTGAATATCAATAAGATGCTCACTGGCGACTGACCCTATTCAGGTAGGTAGTTACCTGGGGTTCCAGTGGGAAGTCATGACCAGTAGGGTGCAGCAGTTCGGATGTGAGGACAAATACTCGCCGAAGACATTGGCTAGCGGTTGCGCTATATCGTGAATTGGCAGAAGTTAGAATTCATGGGTTGGTCATTGGATCGTGGTGTCTCAGTGGCTTACTGGTATACGAGCTCGCCTTGTAACTAGAAGGTCTTGTGTTCGAACCAGCTGTGGTGATGAACAGTAGGTCCCAAACTAGGCTGATGAAACAGCTGTCCAGCACTCCCAGGTTTTCCAATGGTTCTCTAACTGATGTCAGCTCATGATGAAATCCTGTAACTTATGAGAATGAATCGTCGAAAAGAAAATTTTCTTCGTTGCTTACGCCTTTTTCTTATGACTTAACATGCGAATCAAAACATGGCATCATCAGTCAAATCAAATCCACAAGAAAGTTAGTTTAAGCCAGCCAGTCACGTAGAGAAGGAGGTGTAGACTGCCTGGCTGGCTGGTTTGGGGTCCTCGTGATGGTAAAACCAATGGCTGGAGGTGGAGACACTTGGTGATGTGGCTTAAAATCCCCGTTCACAATAACAGCGGAGATGCATTCACTCTTTGTGATTTATCATATCCAATAAAACTCTATTGTTCTTCCATATTACTATTCTTTTTCCCTCACTCGCACTTCTATTTATTATCTCTCTCTCTCTCCCTTTTGAATCTCTCTTTACTCTCTTCTCTTGTTTTGTGTACCAAAAGGAAGGAGTGTGGCAAGTGGAACTGCTGTACGTCTTGTGCGGAGTTCTACGTTGAAACCACTCAAACACAAGTAATCACGAATAAAACCAAATATGGATAAAAGAAAATCCTTGATCCTAACTTTTGTACACACACAAAAAAAATAACAGTATCAAATAAAAAATATAATTCATAAAATCCAGATCTGTTAAAAAGTTTACTCATCATTCAATACAGTCAATTTACAAAAACAAAAACACCTACCAAAATTAGGATTATTGACAACAGGATAGACAACATCTCCGCCTTGAACAGTAGTCATAGCCTGAAAACCTGATGGATGATGCACCAGTTGTTGTCTAGCATTAGCCTGATAATTAAGTTGACGTAGTGGAGCTCCAGTTGTACCAAGAGTGACATTACTTATCACAGGTTCCATATAGGATATTTTAGGTTCCAAAACAGGCGGTTGTGAGATCCCAGCGAAGTGTCCTTCAATGATTTGACCTCCAGGAAACTTCTCTTCTGGTAAATAATGATAATAACGAAGTTACGTGTCGAATAAGGCGCCAAGAGGAACTTTTAATGCTGTTGTTAATCTATTCCAGGGGGTGATACGGGTGGAAACTAACTTAGGGTATTTGATTTAAACAAGACTGGTTTGAAGAACAAGGTGATTATTATTATTGTTTCCTTTAATTCCTAGAGGAACATAGGGCTTCAGCCGTGCGTCTCCATTGCGTTCGGTTCTCTGCTAGAGTCTTCACCTGGCTCCATGTCTGCCCACACGTTTTCATCTCCTCTTCACATGACCTCCTCCAAGTCACCCTTGGACGACCAACCAGCCGCTTCCCTTTCGGATTCCACTCGAGCAATGGCTTGTCTAGTGATGTCACTTGATGGTTTCCTAAGAGTATGGCCAATCCATCTCCATTTCTTCCTGCCTATTTGTTTCACAATCGCTTACTGGTTGGTTCGCTCCCAGAGATCTCTGTTGCTGATCTTTTCTGACCGGCCATCTGATCTTGAGTATTGAGCGAAGACAACTGTTAATGAAGGTTTGTAGTTTGTTTGAGATGCACTTTATGACGCGCCAAGTCTCTGATCCGTATAGTAGCACTGACTATACGGATCAGAGACTTGGTGAAGGCATGGAAATTTAACTGACAGCATGTAGAGATGTGTCTTTTGTCAGTTATCCGCCTAGAAAGAGGTTTATCTTTTTGAAGGATATTTTCCACAGATAATCAATCACAGTTTCATTCTTATAGTTGCATCAGTTTCAAATTATAAGTATTTTATTTGATTCAATTATCGATTTTTCCCGTTGATTGATTGGACCGAAGTGTTCAGTCTCAGGTTGATATGTCGGCTTCTTGTACAGATGCTTTGATGATGTCAGGATATGTAATTAGAAGTTAATTGGTGGATGGTGACTAACAGGATGCATGGCCCAAGTGGTCTAGTGGATAACGCTTTGGCGTTTAAAACTATGGCCACTGGGTTCGAGCCTCGGTGGGAACATAGTCAGTCACTGCATGTACATCCAGGTAATGAGTCCCAAAAGGGACGAAGCGCGCATCCTGGATTCCAATGCTAGTCACCATCCATTAATTGACTTCTAGCTATAGCTTGAAGCCCAATGTTCCACTCGGGACGAAATAGCGTAAAATGATGGATGAAAGCAAATACGAGAGAAAATGTCGACTTCTAACTGCATTCGAGCATTAAATATATGCAAAACAGGGAAGGTGAATTGAATTAAAATGATGAAATGAATGTGATTATCAACAATGGAATGCAACTAACTTCCATAATCATTTGATCCTCTTATCGGTTCTGATATAGGCCGAGTGGCATATTTATGATTGGTAGGAGAACAACGAGAATCCATTGGTGCCTAGTGGATAAAGGACATGCAAAGGAAAAATATAAAAAATATTATAGAGATAGGGCATAAAATTGTTGTTTACACATCTTTTAAACCTATCTATAAAACGTGTTTGGTGC